GTGAAAAGAAGCAAAACAACCCTCCTTTACAGCAACCAAATTAAAGATACAGTGGGTATATTTTGCCGTATCATTAGACACATATTAGATTGACACGCCCCCTTGCTCACCCCTATGGTGGCCGTCGAGGACAAAAAGTCCCTGTGATGTAAAGGGTTCCTACACCTACATTTCCATATTCTACCTTTTAGAATGATTTTTTTGGAAATATCTACTTTTCTATTTTAGAAGCTTAAATATTTTTACATACTTTCTTTTTCTTTTTCTATACTTTTTAAGACATGGATGTATGAAAAGTGTGATTTTTTTTGTGTCTATTTTCACTTCGTACATTTGAACAGCCATGCATGAAATACAAAAATGCACATATTACTAGTTTGTCTGTTCTGTGCTGCAGTAGGAATGAGGTGGTGCGAGATGGTTGCCTCCATTTAAGGTTTCATTTAATTGAAAAAAAAAAAAAGTAGTTTTTATTAGCTGATTACAGACTCAGTTAAACCTATTACCGTATTTTTCACTCTATAAGGTGCACTTAAAATCTTTTTGGCTTGTCCGAGCGCTGCAGCTACCGTAGCCTCACGTAGCCTATTGAATGAGTTAAATAAAGTTTGACTTATCTGACTGTTTTGTTTGGCTTAGTGCGCCTTATAATCCGGTGCACCTTATGTATGAAAATAGACATGAATAGACGCGTTCACTGATGGTGCGCCTTATAATCATAGTGCAAAAAATATGGTATATTCTATTTCTACCAAATCTGTTACGCTGAATGCCACTTAATTTGACGCACTGGCCCTTTAATTATGCAATCTCAAGATTAAAAAAATCATACTTTAAATGCAGTTTTTCTTGTTTCATGCGCTTTATAACATGCAGACCGTCACAATAAGAATACGAGACATCAGTTTTGACCTATATGAGCTTTAAATAAAGAGCTTCTTAGATATTAGATAGTTATAAACACTTATAAATGATCATAATGCTTTATAGCAATAATTATAACACATCATAAACCATTTTATCATGACTTACAAGGTCAGGTATCATAATGTGTTAAAACAGTTAATAACAGTTGTATTGCATTATCGATGAGTTGTTAACAGTTATAACACATTATAATACCTGACCTTGTAAGTCATGATAAAATGATTTATAATGAGTTATGATTATTGTTATAAAGCATTATGATCATTTATAAGTGTTTATAAATATAGATATACAGTGCTATAACATGATTATAACGCATTTTACATATATTTATAATGCGTTATAGAGATAGGCATCAAATAAAGTGTTACTGAATTATTATATCCTAGAAATACTTTTATAATTGACAGAAGTTTAATACATATGCAGTTTAGAAGTATCAGATAAAGTTTGTGTTTGCTCACCACATCTCTTTTTCCCAACACAGACTCTATTTCTTTTTTTAAATACAAACTGATATGGTTAAGTTAACCAAAATATAGTCGTTTCATGACATTATAAACATTGCTGGCGGTGAAATATGCAGAGTGAAGGTTGGGAGTGGATCGTAAGTCTACTCCAACACTCGCGTCTTTGATTCAACACTGTACTTGTCCTTTTAGTGACACCTCCTTAATGGAAAGTGAATAGCCAGTCCCGATTCAAGTCCAAACATGATTTAGCCAAAATGCTAATGTGTGCAAAGCCTTTGATCACCGAGTTACTGTTTTATAAGCCCTCCGCTGTCTTCTCCAGGCAGGACAGACTGTTATGGCCGCTAATTAATATATTAGACGAGGAGGGCTGCTTTTGTATTCACATAGAGAGAGAGTGAGAGAGAGAGAGAGAAACCACAGAGGAAGTTAGGACAACATTGAACGTTCTCATTAAACTTTTAGGCTCGAACAAACAGTCCAAAATCAACATTTTCTCTTTGTTTAAGCGACTTATACTTCATTTAGCAAAATAAATACATGAAAAGTAAACTCAAAATTAAAGTATTTTATCATTGAGTTGTATTTTTATTAAAAATGCAGAATTTTTCCCCTTAATCTCACATCCAAATTAAGTATTGGCTGATTTATTTTTCTCTTTTGTCATTTTGAGCTCAATATTTTGGGGTTTGGGATCTTTGGGTCAAACAAAACAAGCAGTTCGAAGACATAATCTTCATCTTTGGGAATGATGATGGGCTTTTTTTTCTCTTACCGCAGACCAAACAAAAATCAGCAGATTAATCTTTCTGAGAATATCCATCGGCTGCAGTGTTTATTAAATTACTTTGCGGTGCAGCATCGGGGGTCTTTGCTAAACGCCCAAATTTAATATGCTTTATATAGTAGCGAAGATACTGTTTGAGTGAAGAGCTGCAATAAAAAAAGCCTTTTTATTTCTGTATGTTTGAGCAGATACAGACATGTTACCACTTAGCATGGGTGGTCTGGAGAGTTTGGTTCACAAAGTCTCAGCTTAGAGACGTTTTATATTTTAAAATCATAGACTAGGTGAAAAAGTTGGATGGGGAAATTGCAGATTGTGAGGTGAAGGGATTAGACTTCGACCTGCTCTGAACATCTTGTACAATAAGAACTTAGCAGGAGTTGAGATTTGCCTAAATCATTGGTGAAACTCTTTAAAGCTACAGTAGGGGATTTTTTTTGGCATTTATTAAATAAATTGAAATTCATCTCGATGGATGATAAACTAAAGCAAATAAGATCATGAGGGACAGGATTGGTGGTTTTTATACCATTATTTGTCATGCCTTAAAGTAATGTGAGGGGGCAGGAGTCACCAAAGCTCTCTTTTTAAATTTTCACATTTGTACCTCTGACTATCAAAAGTAAGCAGGTTGAGCTGTTTTGTCTGATAATGCCAATAAAGCATGTGGAGGCCAGGATAAGCAAAGACTGCTTTGTCCACAGGGGGGCACCAAAATTGACACAAACCAGAAGTTCCTTACAGGAGCTTTAAAATAGTGTAATAAAAAATTTACTTAGCAAACAAAAACATGCTGCTGTTATCTTGGTTGTTGGAGGCTTTTTGTCCCTTTCCAATTTTAAATAGAGAAACACTGCTTTGTAGCATGGCAACAGTGGAGGAGACCCCTTGCATTATGGGGGCTCTTAAAGAGACAGTAGCTGAATTTAAACATTTCAGATTGAGGGTTTTTGTGTACATTTTTTATGCGGTTAAGCTTGAAAATCCACTTCAGAGCGAGGAGGACAATGTAAAGCCCAAAAATGAGATTTGAACCTCATTTTCTAACAAAGAAATAAAAGTGACACAATGTCTTACGTATGATCTTCTTTAAATAATTAATGGAATAACGTATATAAGTAAGTTTTTCATTGTTTTTTAACCGTCTTTTCAGTTTGTTCTTCAAAATTCTGCAGGTCGTACTTAAAGCTCCTGTGAGGGACTTTCAGTTTGTGTCAGATTTGGTGCCCCCGGTGGACAAAACAGTCTTTGCTTTCTAAAGTCGTGACTTTTGGCAAAAAAACAGTCAAATGTTTAATTCATTTTGAATATTTTAATTGGTAACTATAATAATGGGTCTTTTTCTCTAGTTACCCCCATCCTTCCAGTTTTAGGCATTAAAATTTATAATATAAAGTTAATCTGTGATGTCCTTGATGGTTTTGTTTGCTTTTGAATAACATGAAAATGCACTGATATGAATTTTAGTCTATTCCATAAACATCCAAAAACTCCTCAGAGGAGCTTTAAACTTCATGATGAAATGACTCATGCCGTTTCTCCTTTTCTTTTAGATTTTTTGGGGGCTGTAGGTGTCTCCATTGAAATGATAGGATGGGGGGATGATATGTGGTGAAGGGCTGCAGGTCTGATTTGTACCTTGCCGCCTGCTGTAAGGACTCTGTGCACAGGGTTCACGATTTAACCGCCGAGCTAACTGGCATTGCTGAATCACATAAATTACACGCAATAAATGAACCATATTTTTTTTCTCTTGATGCCTTTATGACTAAAGAAATACAAGCACCTCACGAGCTTGGAGCAGACTGTCTATGATGTACAGTAGTTTATATGAAATGTGTGTGAGTGAGTGAGCAAACAGGATGGTAACCAGGATGGTGTGGAGATTATCCTAAAAGCATCAGACACAGACTGCGTGCGTAATGAAGAATTTAATCTCCTTCATTTTTTTCTTAATGTTGAAGAATTACTTTGTAGTTTCTGCTCTGTCATATGAAGTTATTCTCGTCCGTCAGAGAAAGTGCGGTAGTGTCCACGGGCAAAGATAAGTGCAGCCGTCAAAATGCCGCTCTGAGTGTCTGGGGAACAATACCAGTGATTGTAATGACTGATGACAAACGTTCCACCTAGAAACTGCTTCTGTTTAGGTTAAATCGCATTTTCCGCTGTGTTTATCACAGACAAAGGGTGGAGGAATCAGGACGGAGGCAGTGATTTAAAGGATGGGAACACGACTTAATTAGCGATTCTTTTAGTCGAGAGTGGTTTTAGACAATCTGCAAAGGTTATAAAATGTCTTTAGGGTGGAAAGATGTGGCAAACAACACGGATTCTGGTGGTTTTTAGACCTCGTGGAGAATTGCTCATAGTTAGAACCACAGAGTGAAATTAAAGAGGTGTTTAATTTGGTGTTTCTTCCCTTCAAACTTCTGCTGTGTACCCTGAGTTGCCCTTGAAGGAACGAGAATGGCTGCACAAAGAGAGTGTTATGTTTAGCAAATGTTTGTGTTTAATATAGAACAGTCTCTGAGCTTTCGGTGTCGTGCTAAAAGGGTAGTGCATTAACACATCTTGAAAGGTAACAGAGACGTCTGCTTATCTCAGGCATCAGCGAGGGTGCGGAGAAAAAAAAAAGAAGACATTTAGGTGCATGCAGAAAAAGCTCTGCTCACATGTTATCTCTTCCCTCCCTTGTCCTCTTCTCAGTGATGGCCTCCGCTGAGCAACCGTGCTCCAGCTTCCACCAGCAGCACTGCGCATAAGGCAACACACCCACCTTTGCCCTCCTGCCCAGAAGTGAGAGAGACACCACCATGTACAGCGTGGAGGACCTACTCATTTCGCATGGATATAAATTGCCCAAGAGCGACCCTCCGTCTGCCACGCCTTATGACAAGCGGCCTGCTGATTGCCAGCGTGAACTTGTGGACAACAGGGCTGGCCGGGGGACGCTGAACGGGTATGAGGCGGACCGGGGGGCATCTTTAACAGGGATCTATGGCAGCAGGCAGGCATTGGTGAAGGGTTACCCTGTCACTGACAACGAGAGCGGAGAAAGGAACCAAAGGAGAAAAGAAGTCGGCATCGGTATCGGTATCCTAGGTGACGCTCAGCCCTTGGGTGATTCTCTTGCCACAGATAGTGGGTGAGTGATTTTTTTCCCTCTCTTTTGCGATCCCCCCACACCCTTTACCTTTCCTTTTTTTTTTTCTCCTCTCCCTCCCTTCTCACTGGGGCCCTTTGGTATTGCATGCAAAACTGAGTCTGCACTGCGCAGGGTTTTTTTTTCCTTCCAGAGCTGCAGAACAGTGTGGCTGCAGCAGCACCACTGACATATCTTATGCTGGGTTATGAGGGAATATGAAAGGTGCCTTTGCAATCTTATGAGCTGTTTACACGCCTGTACAGAAGGGTGGCTTGTGTCTCTGTGGAGCCCACCCATGAGCTGGTTTCATCTCCACAGCCTCCACCAGGCAGGCAGATGTAAACAGCAGCACTAGACAGTGAGCAAACTGAGGACTGAACATGCCTCAAGACAGGCGCGTAATCACTCCACTGTAAACACTGGCACACTGAATCACGCCCAGCACGTGCTCTGTGATGTAAGCATGTTGCTGGGCAAGTGTGCACAGCGCGGCTCCCCTCAGCTATACAGTAGCATATGCTGCTGAGGATGATCCATTGACTTTGCTGCTTAAATGAATGAGTAACGCAGTGATTCAGTGCAGTGCAGATAGGATGTGAAGCTCTTGGAAAGCATGATTGCAATTCATCCTTTTTACAAACTAGTTTTTTATATTTATCAGAATGAATGTTTTACAAGCAAATGTATATTTTATAGGGATTTGTGATATATATATGTACCTTTAAGAAATGCTTTGCTTATCTGCTACCTATCTATATTCTATGGGTGTGTCAAAAAAATAACTCAACATGTCTCATCAGGTTGAATTAATTATTTACTTCTGCTGTATCTTACAATTACATCTGAAAGTCAACATGGATATTAAGCCTGCACTCACTTTTTTCATTGTGATATAATAAACTGTCATCTCGGAGGCTTAAAGGTGAGCAGAAATTGGAATAATTAGCAATATCTCGTGATTGGATTCTAGATTGAAATACTCCCTGTTAGTAAAGTGATGCTGGCCTTTGAGGACAAAAGCTTCTGCAATTCATATACAAGTATGATTCCCCATTCATCGTGTTTTTGCCATCAAAAACACCCATCAAAAGGGCTGGGCGATTTAGTCTCAAATCAACATCACGTTATATTGATCAGTTCACCTCGATAACGATAAATGGACGATAACTACTCCACAAGCTGCTCACCCCCTTCCACATTAACTTTGTCTATTTCAGCCGCTCCAACTTTTGAACCGTCCTCCATCTCCTCACCTGTCTTTCCCTCTTTGTTACGGACTGGATGGGGTGGAGTCACGTCTCTGACGTAGGACAGCGTCTTAAAGGGACATGAGACCATAGCCTACCTACACACATCCAAAACCAACTCGCATTCATTTATTGTTTTGACACCGAATATACCGATATGGGCAAAATGACATTGTTTATTGTCCTAAATTTAGGTATCTGTAAACTTTCAGTTTATTGCCCAGCCCTACCCATCAATATAAATTAATTTACGTACTGCCACTTTCTGCTTCTGCAACTTCCACCTGGTTCCAACTTGGTTTGCACAGGAGCCAAGATGGTGGGCAACCAAATCATGTCTTTGCAGTCCTGTTGGGTTTGACTGGAAACTAGCTTTATTTCATCATTATGCCACTGATGTGAGAAGTTACTTGACACTAATAAAATAGTCCGAAATGAACACAGACACTTCTTAATGATAAGATCGTCAGAGCCAAACTTGACGTTTTTTTATACTGCAAAAATTAACACAAACTGACAGGCGCTTAAAAAAGTCTGTATACAATTGCTGCTTGTTCAAGAAGATGTTCACATAGATGCTCAGATGCACAATGTTCCTTTATGGGGTTTGAAGGGACAGATTGATTACACATTATTGTCACCTAATGGTCTGGCATCGAGGCCATTTTGAACTGTTTCAGTATTGTATTTCAGGACAGAGAAATAATCAAAAACAGCCTGACTGTAGACAGGACATTTTGTCCAAAAATGGAGAAAAAATCTGTTTTTAAAATATGTGCAGACATATTCCCTTTTTTTATATTCAGATTATTGTACGGCAATTTAAAGACATTATTGAATATTACATTCTATTCCTTCCAAGTCTGCTCTGCTTAATGCCACTTAATGCTACACACTGCGTCTCTGAAAAAAGCTTGGGAGTGACTGATGACCTGCAGGACACCACAGTGTATCTCGTCTTTTATTCAGCAGCCCCTAAATGGACCACCAGCATTGCTTTAGAAAATCAGTAGAAAGAGTAGTATCTAACAAAACGACTCCTGAACACAAACAAGTGGAATCTTTATCTGCCTGGATTAAGTAGGCCGTTTTTAAGGCGACTGTTTTTGGCAGTGCTTCATGCATTTTTGTATATCAGGCAACATAGAAGGTAAATATGGAACCGTAACTAAAGGCATCTCCAGGCAGCACTGTTTTATAACCAAACAGTGGAACGGCTGTTTGAAACATGCCAACAACGGCTCTTATACACTTGCCATTTTGTGTTAAATTCAGCAAGCCTTTTTAAAATATATCGATGCTTTTGATGTTATACTCTCCCTAGCAACAGCAAAAAGGCTGGCTCTTTCAGATTCACTCTTGCATTATGTTTTATTGTGCCACAATAAAGCAAGCAGCCTTAAAAGTTTCACGTTTATAGGTACTGTAGGTCACAGGGTATTTCTTTAAAGGGTATAGTTTAATCGAGCTAATTTAGTGCTTCGTACATGCAAACGAGAAAAAGAGGCACTTTCTCTTATGTTGGACTAAGCAATAAAGACAATCTACCAATACAGTCTCTGGGATTCACAGTCTGGCTGTCCAGATGACCAGCATTCAAGATAAGGTCAGCGCAATTTAATATGCAGATCATACTGCAGTAGCATCACAATTTCATGGTTTCTTCAAGGGACTTGCAGCCGCTGACTTAAGCACTTCTGTCTCTTATGTGCTGGCTCCTCTTGATTAAGTTGCATCAGAAAGTATGTACTGCCGAACCAAGTTTGAGCTCACTTCTTAACGTGTTTGACAGTTCAAACGGAAACTGCATGTGTTGAAAAAATGTAGATTGATGCATCAGTAGAAACTTGAGGTTTCGATCTTAATACCTTAAAGATACCATTTTGTGTTTTTTGCTCAAGTGTCGACCCAGTTTCACTGTCCGCCTCACTCACCTTCAATCTCATTTGGTACGCCTTTTTTTTTTTTTTTAACACCGAACTTGTCTTTCTTTGCAGGTTCTACGATGTTCCCAGTTTGACTTATTCTGAGCCACTGAGCTACGACGAGAGGGATGTTTCCTACTGGCGGAGGCGAGGCCAGGACTTCAGTATCCTTCTGGACTATGCTGATGGCAGGGAGCTGAGGGCCTCTGCTGGTGCATGGAGGCCACAAGCCCTGATTACAGCAGAGGAACACAGAGCAGAGAGGCAAGCGCAGCAACTATGGGAGGAAATTTCCTGGCTGAGGGACCTGGATGCAGCCCCTGGTCAGCTGAGGGTGACTGGGGAGAGAAAGTGCCAGAGCCTTGGTACAGAAGAGTGGAGGCCTGCTGTGGGCCTGGGGAGGCAGTTGTCTGACGGGGATGGAGAAAGGTGGGCTCAGGAGCAGTACCGCCTGAGAACACCAGAGGGATTTTTTCACCCACGAACTAAAGCAAAGTCGCAGTCTCTCCCCAGGGTATTGTCACCTGATGGAACTAGCTGCAGAGATCTCATTCCATCTAGGCCTAGCCTTCCCGACAGACAACAGAGGATGAACAGCACCGTCTTCTCTGGGCCCTACAGTCGGTATATCTACAGCGGTGCTGTTGTTAGGGACAGGTGGGGTAGGAATTCTGGGCCAAGCAGCCATGTTGCACTTTTACCGAAGCCCAGGTTCAGCAGGCCTTTGAAGCCTCCGTCATATGAGATTCACCAGCAGACTAGGGGTAGCGCAGAAATGCTTGCTATAGAGCAGGGTGCCAAACAAAAGGACAGGTCTATCTATTTTCCAAGGGGAGGGGAGCTGAGACACGACTATTTCGCACAACACTCTGCCATCACTGGAATGGAGCCCCCTGGATACATCCCACCTCCATCTTATAGAAGAGGCCCGCCCCCGAGAGCAGTTTCATTCAATCGCAATGAGATGGCGAATCTAAGATGGAGGGCGGAAGCTCTGCAAATGCCCATGTCAGATCCTGGGAGGTGGTTATCAAGACAGACAAGTAGTTCGTGGCTGGAACAGTATGGAGAACGGGTTGCATCCTATCGAAGACAGGTACAGTCTTTGGGACATGAAGAACAGCCCAGTCTCGCCCGTCAGTTACCCACTGAAGAACCAAGAGTGAAGCAAATCTCAGGGGGGTCTAGCGGAACGTCTCTTACTGACTCAGACAAAATTCGTAACATCAACAAAGAGATCCCACCCGCAAAGAATTTAGGACAATCTCCACATGACAGTGCCTTTCCTCCCCAACAGGGATCAGCTCCCACTGCTGACACCCGAAAAACAGCTCTCAACGACAACGACAGCAGTGCTCGATGGTGCAACAGGGGAATAAACAAAAAAAGTGACAGTGTAGCTCCTGAGCAGAACCGAAGCCAGTTTTTTCCTTCATCAATTCTCGGTAAACCGCCACCTCCCCCAATCAAGCCGGCCGACCAGGGTGTCTCTGAAACTGTGACAGAAGTAAAAAAGGTGGAACAACCAGAACCACCACCGCCACCACCACCAGAGAAAGACAAATCCAAGAACCTAAAAAAAAGACTAAGTGAGACAATTTTTTGTTTAGTGTCTGTTCCTGTCACTCCGCAGCTTACTGGGACAATCCGCGATCAGAATAACAACAACGAGAAGTCACCAGACCCAGCCGACAGTCCAAGTGATAACAAAACTGGCCATTTAACAAACCAAAGTCTCCAAAGCACATCTTCAGCTGAAGCTGAGCTGCAAGCACTCACTGGTAGCATAGCAAGCAGCAAAACAAGCAGTAGAGCAAGCAGTAAAATGTTTAAAAAGGTATCCTGCAGACCCCCTAAAATAAACCATTACAAGGAGATGAAACTGTCGGGAACCTGGCCTTCAAACCAGTATCGAGACCAGGAGACACAAACTAGCCCAGAGGCCCGAAAGGCTGCCGCTGAAAACAAGGAAGCACAACAAGATCCTGTCCCTCCTGGCACTGAAGCTTCTCCTGATAGTGGTGTAGTGGGCACTGCCTTCAGTTTTCCTATAAAGGGAGTGAAGAGCCTGAAACTCTCGAGCAACAGCGCCTTCTCCCTGACAGCCACCTTCTCCAACCAGCTGAACAAGAGCACAGCTCAGCAGCCAGCAGTCCCACCCTCAGGAAATTCGGAGGAGACCAAACCAGCAGCAAACAGTGGGCAGGAGGCATTTGAACAGTTTTTGCTGAAACCATCCACCCAGCGGCCATGGGATGCTGTCAAAGAGCTGGAGACCATCAAAAAAGAAGTCCAGGATCAACAACAGCAGCAGCAGCAGCAGCAGCAGCAGCAGAGCAGCAAACAGCCCAGCGTTGACAAGTGCATAGAAGACCTAAATGAGGCCTACAAAGATATCTTGGAGCTAGGCACTGCCAGCAATAAAGTCCCAAATGGTTCTGTTCAAATTCCTGAGCGTATCAAGATCCGCTTGACATCAGAACCTCTTAACAAGCCCAGCAGCCTTAGGCGCAGTGCAGTAAGCTGGTCAGTGGACCCAGAATACAGGGAAGTCAAGAGCGCCTTCTCCAGGCCTGCGACTAAGTCAGTAACCTTCAGCAAGCAGCTTAGGGAGGAGCTTCCTGTCCCACCTCGGGAGACAGGCTTCAGAGAATACAGGGTTGTTGCGCATCTTTCACGCAGACGGAGCAATGATGGTAGGACAGTGAAACTCGATCTGCAAGATGAGCCCATAGAGACACCGCTTTGTGACTTCAGTCCGACGACAAACACTGCAGCAGCTGAAGTGCCATGGGCAGATAGACAGCCCATGCAGGACGCCTCTACGCTAACAAGTCCCCCAGATTATGAGGACATATGCCAGACTTTGCGTCAGTCCAGAGACTCTGCAGATGTCAATAAAGCGTCCACAGGCAATCTTAAAGCTAATGACGCAGAGCCTCTTCAGGATCTCAGTGCCGATTCAGAGGAGGAGTGCCCTATTTGTAAAAGAGAGCTTGAGAATCAGATGAGACAAGGCCAACTGCCTCCGCTTCATGAGGAGAACAGCTCAGATAGTTCAGCCAATCAAAATGGCAGTCCACCGCAATGTTCTGCGTTAGAAAGTCCAGCAGAAGATACAAAAACGGAGGATCCGAGTGACTCGAGTTCAAATCAGGAGGGTTCTGCTGCAACGAGGGAGCAGCCTTCGCAGACACAAGAAAATGAAGAAGAAGAGGGTGAAAAAACAGACGATGCTCTTGCAGAAAACTTGAACAATGTGTGTGCAATCAATCCTGCTGAGAGCGTACAGCCCAGTGGAGCTGCAGAGCCGAGTGCATCCATGATAACAGCGACTGATGTGCCTGCAGCCCCCCCAGTCACAGCCGAACAGAGTGCAGGTGACACTCTAACAAAGGAGGCGGAATCAGGGGAGAATAACATCATTACAGGCGAAACACCTGAAGGCAGTACAGACAAACAGACAGCTGAAGTGAAAAGTGAGAGTGAGGGACAAGACAATACAACGTCTGCTGACAAGCAGGAGCAAGAAAAGAAGCCATTTGCTGTCCCAGAACATAGGTTTGCTCTACGGACTCATCTGGGGCGAGACCACCCAGGGTTACCAGAGTTCCCACCAGAAAGACTGCCACTCTCAGTTCCCCCAAACCTAGACCGCAGGCTGTCTTTAAGTTTGGAAGGGGAGAAACGGAGCAAGGGCCCCTCCCACCGAATCGAAGCCTTGCAGAATAAGCTCGCCATTTCTCCAGGTCGGGTGGCAGTTGAACGCCTGGCTCGGATGAGGGAGGTGGACATTATGTATCGTATGAGGCGCCTTAGCATCAGGAGCACTGACTCTGGGGATGGGGAGGGAGAGGGGGAAGGGGAGGGGGAGGCAGAGGGCAAGGACGAAGAAACGCAGGAGTCCCATCCTGCTCCTCAGAAAGACAAGGGTAATGATCAGGAGGTCACCCAATCACAGCAGGTCTCTGAAGAGGAAGTGTTGCAAGATGAGCAGGAGTCATCTCTCTCAGGTAAGAAATAAAAGACTTTAACATTGAATATCCTTGTGGTTAACTGTGTTTATTAGAACGGGAACTGTCAGCTTAAAAATACCAACATAAAACAACAGTAAAACATTCAGCTCCCTTGAGGTTCTGGATCCTTACTGCATTAGTAAAACAAAAAGCAAAAGGAAGAGAACAACAGGAGTGCAATATTTTAAGAAATACTGCATCACAGAATTAAACCGTCTCTTCTTACAGATTACAAAATAACCTTGCTGAATAGGTGGTAACTGACAGCAGGCCAGTGAACAGGTCCAGGGGACGTCCTTGGGTTGGGATGCTTTGACCAGTCATTTGTCTTCATACTATGAGGCACAAAAATTCACAGAGAAAGACCTGGACCAAACTGAGACTCCTAAAATGAATTAACCTCTGGATGTCAATGAGTGATCCGAATTATCTCAGAAAAACTGCACACCAAAGTGAATCTGATTAGACATTTTCTACATAACTGGAGCATATTTCTGAATGTGATACCAGAAATAGACACAGAAAAGCACTTTGAAACTGTCTCCTACCTGTAAGTCTTGTTTTCAGAGGACACTAGTGTAGCAGTGCAGCATTTATCTGGATAAAAAGTCAAAAGTCAAGATCACAAAGTACATTTTATGCTTTTTAAGCATAAGTTTGCCATGTGCCAAGCCTTAAAAAGTTAAATTAAAAACTTGAGTTAAAAAAAAGAAAAACTTACCAACTCCTGAAAGTATAGGAGTAGATGTGTGCATAAAATCTTAACAACTATCCATCCACCTCTGGAGGATGTGATTATCAAAACTGATAGCAGGGTTCCTTCGGGGATCAATTTCCAGGTCTTAATAAGTATGGAAAACGAAAAATAAAGTAAGGAAAAATGTTTATGTTTCCAGACTATTACCACAGTTCTAAGATTCTGTTTTCTAAAAGAGAGAAAAGTAGGTATTTCCAGAAATAATTCTAAAAAGTAGGGTATGGAAAAGTATGAAAATTCCAACTGTGTAAGAACCCTGTGATTGACTTTGCTTTCAGAGAAGACCTACAAAAGGACTGTACAGGTCTCATAAAACCCTCAGAATAAATATTAGGAACAATTCACAGCATGCATCCCAGGAATTTATGTTCCACAGAGGAGATACATATTCAAAATTTTACCATTATAGCTTGAGATCACGTATCTATCTATCTATCTATCTATCTTACAAGCCTTTTCCTTATTGAATTCCCTTCTTTCTCATGTCCCAGAACACCATGATCCCAGCCAAGTGGAGACAGTGTAGAAAGACTGCGCCCATCATCTCCATCTGAGGTTTTTAGCTCCAACACTGTGACCTGGCTGCCTACTAGAATGCCTTCATCTCATCTTGACACTGAAATGGCCTTCTTGTCCGACAAGAGCATTGTGTACACCCCTCACCCTTGGCGCTGCGTTGACTTCTAAGAGTGCTGTTCCACTGCCAAAGGGAGGTGCCCTTTTAACTTGTGGGGGCAACTTCCACCCCAAGTCCCTCCCCAGCCTTCCCTAACTGACTACCCACTCCCCCATCTGTCCTCCATCCCCAACCCCATCCTCTTTTAGGGTTTCTACTATTAGTCTTCTTGTAGCGGCTTGTCCTTTCTATTCTATCCTCCCTATGCTTTTCTCATTGGCAGACATTATGCAATTCTGTCGTGCATACTAGAACTTTGGAAATGTCCGCGGTGACTACAGTCAAAGGGATTTCTTGCAAACCGAACAAACTTGTTCGTTAATGGGCGAGCTGTAAAGGATATGAATGTAAGCATTTATGTTTAACTTAAAAGTAGACATAGAAGGGTTATCGTCACAAACTTGTTCTGTTGCATTTAAACTTACACCAAAATAAACTTTGTATCTGATGATTGTCGTGGTTAGGCGACAGCTGTTTTAGAACTGGACATCACTGTCACTGGCTTAAGAACTGTTTTTGATTTTCAGATGAGATTAATCAGCCTTTCTTTTTTAAGATTTAACGACATTGTGCCCTGACTCATTGCTTTTGTACACTCTGCAACCATAACACATATTGCTCTTCAATGAAGAGTAACTCTACACCACTTGACATGATAGATCAGAAACCTATTGTACGATACATTGGTTCTACGACGGAGAGGGAGCGTTGCCTTCTTTAACGAGACGTGTGTTAGTCCCCCTCGATCAATCCGATGTATAGCTCCTATTTCCAGGTAATTTCAGGAAGCAATAAAGGCACGGATTGAGTTAAAGAAGAAGCGGTCGACAACTTTGATTAAACTTAAAGATAGAAAATGACATATAGAACAAAAACAAACAAAAAAAAAGATACGTAGAGCAATATTGTTGTACAAACAGCTAAGTGGTGTAGTGGAGCTACCTGTAGGAACCATTTTCAGGAGTTTTAATGTGAACGTGTCATTCGAATCATATTACAGGGATATGGAATTGTGTCAGGGTATACGGGCGCTTAACGGGGTGGGTGCTTTACTTCATGATAAGCTGTACATCTATGTTCATACATCTGTATCGCAAAGAGACAACATTTCACTGAATATTTATTTTTCTTATCATCGAATTGTTAATCAGTTTGCATAATGTACAAAATAAAGTATATTTTAAATATTTTAAGAGATATTTTGTATTTAACCATGAAATTTTATTTCTCCACACTTATATCTAGCTGAAAGTATCATATGTCTGTATAGTATCATATTGAGAGTATACATAATTTTCTAGTGCTTTAAAATCTCGAAGAGTGAGAGAGAGAAAGAGAGGGAGAGAGAGAGAAAGGGGATGGCCCTGTCTGTGGTGTGCCTTGATCACACATAGTTGGGTTTCGGTAAGAGGCAGGGTTCATCATCGCTCGGCTCGAGGCAAAGGGGATTTTTTGATTGTGCCATGATTTCCTATTTGATAGTGCTTTTTCATAAGCTAACAGAGTCCGTGTTTGACGCTCCATGTGATACATCAATTCATCGCAGCTGTATTTCCTATGTTTGTGGTCAAGACGTGGCCTGTGTCTTATTTTTGTCTTTGTATGTCTTCCAGTTTCAAATCATGTGTTGTTCTCTTGTTGGTTCCTCAAACTTGATTAGAAATAAAATTGGGATTTTTTTTCTTTTGTTTCCACCTTCCCTTTCTTCTTCTTTCCTTTCTCCTCCTCCTCGCTTTGTTTTTTCCTTTGGAGTAACAGCGTGTCTAATATGGGTAATTTGTTCTGCTGTCCCTCACTCCTATTGCACTAAAAGGATACAATGCAGTATGCTTTTTTCGGCTAAAAACCACGTATGTGCAAAACTTTAAAGAAATCTATTTTGTTTTTTCAAATACAGGGGTTTTTCATAAATCTTGAATCATAAGCTAAAAATAAAACGTGATAAAAAAAAAGTTCTTATGGATAAAAAAACAAGTTTGCAGTTACGTGTTTTTTTCCCACAACAGCAGTGCTGCATTGATGAAAAGTATACACAACAGATTTGTAGGAATCGATCACTCATAAAAAAGGTCACTTAATGTTATGTAGCATTTTATAGTTGTAGCATTATATCAACTCAGAACTGTCTCAGCATTTTAAACATTTCCTGTAAATTTTGCAAAAATCATGTCGCCTTATCCTGTGTGCATTACATTATACTCCAGGCAATGCCAAATACTAACGTACTAAGTACTGTTTCATACCTTAGGTTTTTACAAACAACTTACTGTTCTGCCACGCCTCCGGCTGGAGAGGTACAGTAGCATTGTGGATAGTTTCTGCTCTTCAAGCTGTTAAATCTGTAGGAGGATTGAATCAAAACTGTGAACTTCAAATTATAAGAGAGAGAAGGCATCATTTTAAAAAAGTAACGGCATGAGATCCGGTGTTTTTGAGACGAGCCCATAGTCAGCATCACAGGAAGGACAAGCTGGCACGCCCATAATTACTAACACATCACATCTCCAATTCATGATGAAGACCTGAAGGCCTCGCCTAGGTCTTGTGTGTAAACTGCCCCCCTGACAACATTTAAATACCTATTTCAGTACATATGCCCCTCTGAATAATTGGCATGTCAGGTACACTTGAACATTGTGTCATTTGACTTTTTGTACTGCAGGTTATGTGCAACATAAAGTAATTATGCACACTTGTAATATTTTCTATTTTCATATGAGATTTAAGTGCTTTTTGTACACACTGACATCTTTTTTTCTTCCTTGCATGAAATGCAAGAGAAAGGAGGAAAAAAATTTTCATAAAGTATATTTGCATTTGGTACTCCAATAGTAAAAACCGGTGGGCAAAACATTATGTTTCATAATTTAATTTACAAAACTATGCCAAGTATTTAAAAGCTATTTTTAGAGTAAATCAAATGAGAACTCATTCATTTTTTCTTTTGAAACATGCCTTTATCTTTGTATCTATAAATATGAGCATAATCCATAGTCATATGATTGTGCTAATGTTGTATGATACTGCAGTCTGATTCATAAATAAACTCTTTGCATGAAAGCTGTGTCTGTGATCAATTGCTGAGGGATCATGTGTACTGGTTTTATATTATGCATACTGTTTTTCATGTTAAACTACTCCAGGAAGAGCAAAGTTTCTTGTTTTCCTATATTTTATTTGGGATTAAGAGTCTCATCACCCTTTGCTGGAACTCTTAGGATTGATTTACAGTGTTTTTTTCACATATGCACACGTATGTACAGTCAATTTCAGTCCAATTACCCTGCCAGACTGTCACACTGAGCTCCATTTGCTTGATCAGAGCGTTGGCAAAGACGATACTTGGGCTGAACCTTGGAAAAATCTCCCGGCATGCTCTCTGACGCTTGGATTTCATCCATCCTCAGCCGCTGTTCAGATTCCTCTTTTGTGCCATCTTCGTTCTAAAAGCAGAGTGAAAAGTCCGATTAGCACCTCCTCTGATGTGATACTTTATTGATCCCTATTTAGGTACTGTACGCTCCCTCTTTACAGACATCTCTTTACTTCGCTCTGAGACAAATTGGCAGCTGCTTGAAACAACAGTGGAGGCTGAAGGATCAGGCCAATTTAATATATTGAGAAAGCAATACACAAAAAATCATAAAAAGGTAAATACAGATGATACAATGTCACTCACACAAAAAACTCTTTAACTTCTATATATGTGCACCCAAACTGGCCAGGGTTAGAGTCAAACAATCCACTTTGAATTGATAAGTATGAGGCCTTCATGATATTATAGATAAAATAAAATTCAACACTAATATGCCACAAATTTTGAAACCTAATAGTAGGGGGTGGGAATCACTAGTGGCCCCATGATACGATATTATCACGATACTTGGGCCACGATACGGTATTATTGCGATTTTTAACAGTGAGTATTGCAATCCATATATTTTTTTCAACTGTTTTGATAATTTAGCACTTGTCTTTCCTTTATCTTTGTCTTATTTATTCTGTATTTTATTATCATGAAGCACATCTTGCAAACCTTAAATGTATATTTGTTGTCAAACTTTCTCTTCTGCTCTATGACGTCACCTCTGCCAACCTCACTGGACAAACAGTTTATTTTATTTTCCATCATCATTTGACTTCACATTAGTAATTAATATAAAAAATCGATACTTGGTATATGAGACGATATGATATATCACCAGAAAAAATATTGTGATACTGTGCTGTATTGTATCTCCAATCCCTACTTAATAGTGTCTTACATTTGGTCATTTCTGTACCTGACCCCTTAATAGTAATGATGGTGAAACATTGTTGAGAAATTAACTGAAGAGGAGCTCTATAACACAGCTCGATCATATATTTTACCATCCCAATATCAATTTAATTTTTTAATATTTGTGTCTTTTTACAACACCTGTTAGCCAAAACTACTAGCTAGCTGTGTCAGCTTCAAGTGTCCAGGTGTGCTCTGAGATTTCAGTTTGGTGCTGACAGATTGAAAAAATCAAAAATAGCATGACTAAAAACCTGTAAACATTACATGAGCCGATTGGTCACAAATGTGACAATTTCAAGACTTTTGTGGTGTTACTTGATCATTGGACAGTTGATGAATTGTCTTGTCTATACTTTTGCTGGTAACTTCAATTCTAAGCACGTTTTCTGAAAAACTACTGCAAAAAAACTACTTTTTAACATCTACTGCGCCGCACAACGAGGACTAAGAAGAAAGAAGTTGACGACCATCATCCTCAGGTAACATTTACAGGTGGTATTAAAGTATTAAATATGACTTAAGTGTACCAAACCACAGCATACCTGTATCCACTTTTTGTTGTGCAATA